CTATAATCTACCCCCCGTACTCAAAAACTCTCGAAAAGGTTTTTTCTGTTCTTTTTCCTTTTCTTTTATTGGATAAAATAAAAGTCGGTGGTGACTCTTGCTTACCGCGACATTTGAGAATATAAAATGCAAACCAGTATAACAGTCGATTCTGCCACCGTATCACAATGGGTCTTTCTGATTTAGAAAACCCCGCTCTCTTGAATTAAAATACACCCCCTAATTGTCTTGGATTTAAGAATGGGCCCTCGGATATTGTTGGACCATCCTTAATTAAAGCATTCTCTTTTATTTTTAATCTTGAAAAATATGATCGTGGAGGTAGGGCAAATTCGGGGTATGACACTAGGTTTCACAGAAGATTTCAGTTTATTAACTTTGTTATTGATTCTGATGGGTACAATGAAGATATCAATAATAAATAGTTGGAATGAACATATAGATGGCATGCCTAGTTATGTTCTTTAGCACAAGTTAAAAAGGTTGTTGCTAGTTCTTTTCAAGATGAATAAACCTTTGATCCTTGCTCAGCAGAATATCTTGAAGACTAGAGATAACTTTTCATGCTCAAACGGAGTTGGCAGTTGATAAGATAAACTCTTTCGAGATTCAAAGAGTTAAATATTGCACTGATGAGCTCATTAAATGGAATGATATGGATGAGGCTAATCTGAGACAAAGATCCAAAATAACCTGGTTAAAGGTTGGTAATGGTAATAATCAGTATTTTCATGCCTCCGTTAAAGTTAAACTTAATAAGAATTCTCTAACTATGCTAGAAAAAGATAATGGTACTCGTCTAACTTCTCGGGATAAGATTGAAGAAGAAATCCTTGATTATTATAGAAATCTGATGGGTAAAAAGGTGAATGATCTGAACTGCATTAATATTGAGGCTATGAGGAGGGGGGCCAACTTCCGAGGTTGTAGAGGGACAGTCTACTTCTGCCTATTAGTGATTATGAGATTTTTGCTGCTTTGAAAGGGATTGATCACTTATCTGCTCCTAGCCTAGATGGGTTCAATGCCAAATTTTTCAAATACAATTGGGATACCATAAAGGCTGACTTGATTTCTACTATTCAGGAATTTTTTGATAAAGGAATCTCTACAAAGCTTTTAATTGTACCTTGGTCTCTCTTATTCCCAAGCATGCCTCAGCTAAGCACATAACATAAAGGATTTCAGACCTATATATGTTTGTACCATAATTTATAAAGTGATGTCTAGGATTTTGACAGTCAGGTTAAGTAAAGTTATTGGTTCTATCATTAACATCATTAACCCTTCTCAGTTTACTTTCATTCCTAGGAAGAAAATTCAAAGCCATATTCTTTTGGCCTATGAATTAATTAAGGGTTATAGCAGATCTGGGGAACCCTCTTAGATGTATGTTTCAAATAGATATGCAAAAAGCATATGATATGTTCAACTGGAAACCTTTAGAGATGATAATGCAGGAGATTGGTATTCCCTATAAATTTATTAGTTGGATTATGTCTGGCCTCTCATCTATTTCTTACAGGTTCAATGTGAATGGATCTTTGTCTCAAATTCTACAGGGCAAGAGAGGCATTAGGCAAGGGGACCCTATTTCCCCTTACCTTTTTGCTATTGTCATGGAATATTTGTATAAGTGTCTTGTCCAAATGTAACTTGATCCTAATTTCAACCATCATTCCAAATGTGAGAAATTGCAAATAGTGAATCTTATGTTTGTTGATGACGTGCTCCTTTTCTCTAGAGGTGATTTTCATTCTGTGATTTAATGCTCAAAGCTTTCAATGTTTTCTTCAGATCTACATACATGAAGTTGAACACTTGTAAAAGTAAATTTTTCTTTGGTGTTGTTGATGTTATGACCAAGGATATGATTCTTCGGCTTTCTGATTTTCATGAAGGCTCTCTCCCCTTCAGATACTTAGGGGTTCCCCTCATTTGTAAGAAGCTTTCCATTAATCACTACATGGGGATGGTTGATAAAATTATGTCTCGTATTCATCATTGGTCCTCTAAGCTCCTTAGTTATGCTGGGAGGCTCCAGCTCATAAAGAGTATCTCCTTTGTGATGACTAATTATTGGATGTTATGCTTCCCTCTTCCTAAAGTGGTCATCAGGAAAATTGATTCTATTTGTCGTTATTTCCTTTGGACAGATAAAAATACTCCTAGTACGAAGAGTTTAGCTGCTTATGATGTGGTGTGTAAGCCTATTAAGCAGAGTGGTTTGGCGCTTATTAATATGGTTCATTGGAACACTTGTACCATATTAAAACCGTTATGGAATATTTGTAACAAAGATGACAACTTATGGGTGAAGTGGGTTTATGCCTATTATCTTAAGCACAAAAATATTATGGAGGCCGAGATTAAAAGTAATAGCACTTGGATTATGCGTAAAATATTGGAGCAACATATCATTCTTGAGAAGTCTAATTTTTGGAATGATATAATTCAAAAGAACCATTTTAGTTCTAAATATGTGTATTTGAATATGGTTAATGGCCCTGCTATTCCTTGGAGCAATCTTCTGCTTAACAATCCGGCCAGACCTCGTGCTCGCTTGATTATTTGGCTTGCTTGTCATTGCGATCTTGCAACCAAAAATAGATTGTTGAGATTTGACATGGTTGACAATAGTGACTGCGTTTTCTGTAAAAAAAAAGTTGAAACTATCAATCACTTGTTTTTTTATTGTGTGCAGTTAAAAGATATTTGGCAAGATGTGCTTACTTGGATTCAATTTTTGCATACTCCTATAAAGTGGGAAGATCAGTTGAAGTGGATCCTCACTATTGATAAAGGCAAAGGATGAAAAACGAAATTACTCAAGTTTGGTGCATCAAAAACTCTATGATTGTTGGATGTATCGTAACAGAATTTGCTTGGTAAAAACATAGATAGAAATCAAGTTGTGATAGATATCATTAGCAATATTGTATATAGGAGTTGGTTTTGTAAGATCTCAAAACCCACATAGCTAGATTGATGCTTCGTTGATCTTTTTCTTTATCTTATTTATTTGTTTGGTTGACTAAATCCGAGCGATCGTCTTATATCTTTCTTATTTTTTTTAGTTTAATATAAATTTTCTTTTTTTTAAAAAAATAAAATAAAATATCAATTTTTAATAAATAATATAAATATTTAATTTTAAAATACATGTACATTGCACGGGTCAACAATCTATTTATCCATAGTTTTAAGTGGTTTTTCAATTTTTTTTCAAAATGATTTGGCAGAGTTTTACATATATCTGAAATCATTAATTTGAAACCGTTCCTCTGCACACCAACATTCATTTTCCTGTCCATTAATGCCACCTATTACTTTTTTAAATTTTAACATAGTTAAATAATATTTTGAATATCCAACAGTTAAAAATATCCGCCTGTTATATTTATTTATTATACGTTATTATATATTCCCAACAGCTCTATTTAAAATAAAAAAATTTAAAATTTTTTTTTAGTATATAACTTTTCATATATATTTTTAATGTAATATAGATTTTTAATATATCTTTTTTAAAAAACTTTTTTAATATATAACTTTTTTTTAGATATTCAAAACCTTCCTTATTTATTTTTACTATTCATAAAAATGGTAATATTCATTAATATTTTATGAGATTTTTTATTTTTTTAGAGTTACTAACCCCTCTAAATGCAAGAAAAATATGTCAGAATCGCAAAGTCGCTCATGTGAGGTAAACATAGCCTTAAATATGTGTATCAAACCCTTACATGCATCATAATAATACAGAAAATGATAGCTACAAAAGCATAAGCTTGCCTAATAAAAGATTTCCAATTTTAACTCTTACCAAACATAATAGTTAAAATTCAAAGATTGCTAGTGTCCCTCCCTCTCAGTTTTTGAGGTTGTCTAATTTAATTGTGAGTGCATATCACAATCATGTTGCTATACAATGTTGCATGAAAAATAGTTTTACTACAACAATTTGTGAGAAAAGGTGTGGCATCAAACATGTTACACCCAGCGAGAAAGTGTGAAACCAAACAGCCATGTTTTAATTTTGAAACTTGTATAAAAGTGTTGGTTTCATTTGAGTTAAAATTGTAGAAGTGATGTTAACCTACTATCAAACAGGACTAGGATAGTAAACTCAACAACAAATGTATGAAAGCAAATTAAAATTCACTTTAATTTGCTGTCAAAGATTTTGGATAAAATGAAGTTTAACTTTCAATAATAGATTTGGTACTTTGTTATAGTTTATTCATAAGATCTTACCTACCTGTTACTCCTATAAATTCATAAGTAGTTTTTCCAAATTTTCATATTTTAACAAATTTTTGAAGCATTTGATAAAAACCAATTAAATGTATCATATTTGGTACATAAACATCTTGTTTACAACATAAGGATGCTCTGTTATGTCAGATCTCAACAGATTGAAACCAAAATACACATCACAAATAATTTTATATTGTGATAATGCTTTTCCTTACAAGGATTTTACAATATATTTGTATATGTCTAATAAAGAAGCTATTTATTCATCAATGTATCAGAACATTGACAAACAATGTAACAATTGGAACACTATTCTTTTAAACTCAATCAATATGATTGATTACTCTATTTACTACAAATGGTTTTGTTCAAAAGACCATTTCTCCAATAAACATGAAACAGAAAAGGAATTTAAAAAAACCTGTTTAACAAAATAGAAAAAAGAAATCGAAGTAAATCTGAATCAAATAAACATAGAAATAGGAATAAATTAATGTAAACAAAAGAAAATGAAAAAAAAAATGAAGACGGGACGGGACGTATAAATTGAAGTAGTAGAAAAAAAAGTTAAAATTGAAGAAGTAATAGAAAATGAATAAAACAACATCTAATCTGGAATCGGTCATCTTTGCTAAATCAATCATATTCGTTTGACGTTTGACAAACTTTACCTCAAAGATAGAATAGATAGGATAAGACGGTAACTATAAATAGATGAAATAATAAAACTAAACTCATAAATGTCAGTTTTCAATTGCATTTCTATAGCACCAGAGCCTCTGCTTCTAGAATTGAATGGAAACCAAAATCCCAAGCTACACCGGCTAGAATTGAATGGAAACCAAAATCTCAAACTACACCTGCGAAAAACAAAGCTTCGCAAAATATTTCTCACACATCAGCCCCTATTTGTAGTCCCACAAGTTATGTTAAAACCCACTCCTATATTTGTAGTCCCACAAGTTATGTTAAAACCCACTCCTACGTTGCATTTCAGCCTCTACGTTGCATTTCACTCTATCATTGCTCTCTTGAACTGTATACCAATCACTATGTTGTTAATCTCAGAAAGTGGTGTGGCACAGTCAACCCCAAAATAGGAGCAGCACGGATGCAGGGAGCGGCATGGGCACTATTTTAGTGACACAGACACTAAAAAAAAGCATGTACATGCCGAAAACATACTAGCAATGTCTACTTACTTCCTAAAGGTTTACTGGTGTGAATGAAAACAAAAAGGTTTTGGGCCCCCCTTGGGGCTAAGCCCACTCGGATCCAACATCAGACTCATGAGAAAAGAAAATGCACAAAAAACTAGCTTTGAGGAAGGCGCCGTTCCACCCATCCCAATTAACTGTCATCATTAATTTAATGTTCCACCCTTCCCAAGTAATTTTCATCGTTAATTTAATTAATTATTAGTTATATCAAATTAATAATCCCAAGGCCTCAACAAAAACGAATAAAGAAAAAAAAAGTCAAATGTTCTCTCTCCAATAAGCCGTACGCTCCCATATTCTCTCTTCCCTTTCATCGTTTTTTTTTTCAAGCTTTACCCATGGTTTTCTCTTCGTTTCCCTGCACACAAAAATACTGAAAAGAAACACAGCACAATGCAGAGATGATGAAGGCGCTGAAGCAGAGGATGATGAAGGTTGGGCGATGGAGGAAGAGCAAGAGGAAGCAACGGAATAGGAGAGAAGAGTGTGCGATGAGAGAAGAGCCGCTACTGAAATTGCTTTGTAACAGTTAGAAATAGGGTTTTAACCGTTTTAAAAGCAACTGGGTGTATCCAACCCGCGAAAATAGAAAAGTGGTTGCTTTCGCCGCACGTGACCCGCTCCAGGACCCAAGCCGCATCTCCATTTCGTGCTGTGCAGGTACTACCCGCTCCAGGACCCAAGCCGCATCTCCATTTCGTGCTGTGCAGGTACTACCGGAAGCAGCCTGGCCGAATTTTCCGCATTGCACCGCTATAGCAGCCGCTCCAACCGCTTTTAACAACATGACAACATAGACCAATCATGCCAACTACAATACGCCTCTATATCAAGTTTAGAATAGAAGACTCTTCTTGCTCATTATTCCAAATCATATTATTCTTGTTCTTCCAAATCATCTCTAACATAACCGCAACTATTCCCGCCGTCATCCTATCTTCCTATCTACAAATATCGAAAAACAAGGATTTAGCATCATCAAAAGAATATAAACGGGTCAATAATATGCGACAGGCCTGGGTAACATCACATCCAAAGAAAACATGCCTTACATGTTTCTTTGGATTCTCACAAAACTGACACTCAGAAGGACATGGAATGATAGTGACGAAGTTAAAAGATACATAACCTCCAAAACTGCATATATATGTTAAATTCTTCATCACTCGTAACTTCGGTACACCTTTCATTTTGTAGATTACGAGGGACAGGCTCAAGACTATATTAACAAAGCAAATATTAGCTTGTGCATGGAAACAACAGTTTCAATAGTAAACAAATTCTCCACAATCAAAATATTGGACAGCACCACGATGTGTACCAAGATATTTATGAAAAAAACAAGGGTCATCCAATCAAGTTTTCCTACTTAATTGGTTAAGTTTTGTGACTTGTGAAACATGTTACAATTCTCCTACATAATAAACACAATGTCCTCTTTGAAATTCTACGCAGATCTTTGAAATTCAAGGCAGGGACTTTATGAAAAAATCAAGGGCCATCCAATCAAGCTTTCCTACCTAATTGGTTAAGTTTTGTGACGTGTGAAAACAAAGTGTTACAATTCTCCTACATAATAAACACAATGTCCTCTTTGATATTCTACGCAGATCTTTGAAATTCAAAGACTTTATGAAAAAAACAAGGGTCATCCAATCAAGCTTTCCTACCTAATTGGTTAACTTTTGTGACTTGTGAAAACAAAGTGTTACAATTCTCCTACATAATAAACACAACGTCCTCTTTGAAATTGTAAGCAGATCTTTGAAATTCAAGGCAGGGACTTTATGAAAAAAACAAGAGTCATCCAATCAAAGCTTTCCTACCCAATTGGTTAAGTTTTGTGACGTGTGAAAACAGAGTGTTACAATTCTCCTACATAATAAACACAATGTCCTCTTTGAAATTCAAAAGACTTTATGAAAAAAACAAGGGTCATCCAATCAAGCTTTCCTACCTAATTGGTTAACTTTAGTGACTTGTGAAAACAAAGTGTTACAATTCTCCTACATAATAAACACAATGTCCTCTTTGAAATTCAAAAGACTTTATGAAAAAAATAAGGGTCATCCAATCAAGCTTTCCTACCTAATTGGTTAACTTTTGTGACTTGTGAAAACAAAGTGTTACAATTCTCCAACATAATAAACACAATGTCCTCTTTGAAATTCTACGCAGATCTTTGAAATTCAAGGACTTTATGAAAAAAACAAAGGTCATCCAATCAAGCTTTCCTACCTAATTGGTTAAGTTATGTGACTTGTGAAAAAAAAGTGTTACAATTCTCCTACATAATAAACACAATGTCCTCTTTGAAATTCTACGCAGATCTTTGAAATTCAAGGCAGGGACTTTATGAAAAAATCAAGGGCCATCCAATCAAGCTTTCCTACCTAATTGGTTAAGTTTTGTGACGTGTGAAAACAAAGTGTTACAATTCTCCTACATAATAAACACAATGTCCTCTTTGATATTCTACGCAGATCTTTGAAATTCAAAGACTTTATGAAAAAAACAAGGGTCATCCAATCAAGCTTTCCTACCTAATTGGTTAACTTTTGTGACTTGTGAAAACAAAGTGTTACAATTCTCCTACATAATAAACACAACGTCCTCTTTGAAATTGTAAGCAGATCTTTGAAATTCAAGGCAGGGACTTTATGAAAAAAACAAGAGTCATCCAATCAAAGCTTTCCTACCTAATTGGTTAAGTTTTGTGACGTGTGAAAACAGAGTGTTACAATTCTCCTACATAATAAACACAATGTCCTCTTTGAAATTCAAAAGACTTTATGAAAAAAACAAGGGTCATCCAATCAAGCTTTCCTACCTAATTGGTTAACTTTAGTGACTTGTGAAAACAAAGTGTTACAATTCTCCTACATAATAAACACAATGTCCTCTTTGAAATTCAAAAGACTTTATGAAAAAAATAAGGGTCATCCAATCAAGCTTTCCTACCTAATTGGTTAACTTTTGTGACTTGTGAAAACAAAGTGTTACAATTCTCCAACATAATAAACACAATGTCCTCTTTGAAATTCTACGCAGATCTTTGAAATTCAAGGACTTTATGAAAAAAACAAAGGTCATCCAATCAAGCTTTCCTACCTAATTGGTTAAGTTATGTGACTTGTGAAAAAAAAGTGTTACAATTCTCCTACATAATAAACACAATGTCCTCTTTGAAATTCTACGCAGATCTTTGAAATTCAAGGACTTTAGGAAAAAAACAAGGGTCATCCAATCAAGCAAATTCAAGGACTTTAGGAAAAAAACAAGGGTCATCCAATCAAGCAAATTCAAGGACTTTAGGAAAAAAAACAAGGGTCATCCAATCAAGCTTTCCTACCTAATTGGTTAAGTTTAGTGACTTGTGAAAATAAAATGTTACAATTCTCCTACATAATAAACACAATGTCCTCTTTGAAATTCTACGCAGAACTTTATGAAAAAAACAAGGGTCTATGAAAAAAACAAGGGTCATCCAATCAAGCTTTTCTACCTAATTGGTTAAGTTTTGTGACTTGTGAAAACAAAGTGCTACAATTCTCTTTCATAATAAACACAATGTCCTCTTTGAAATTCTAAGCAGATCTTTGAAATTCAAGGACTTTCTACAAGAAATACTTCCCGAGTCGAACACTTGGCCAAAACATACAATGGTCCCAATTGTTACAAGCAATCACATCAACCAGTCATATATAAACATCAAATATTATAAACAAATTGGATATTCTTATCATAAACCTGACCTCACACCACCCGCTGTGTTGATGGTCGTATCCTCACAAGATCTACCATATTGTGTCTTCAACAGCTTCATTCAGCGGTAATATCCACTGAATACAAATAAAAAAATAAAATAAAATTATAGATCTGGATGGATTCGAACCACCACCTCTTAGAGACTCCAAATTCAAAAAATGCTCTGAGCGCTCTACCTATTTGAGCAACAGATCTTTCATGGAAATGATTAGGTATGAAATAACCAAGGGTTACCGTTCCTTAATTTTTAAAAAAATCTCAAAGTAATGGATAATTCAATATTTCAGAAATTTCTCTTTCCCTAAAACCAATTAAATACTTCTCATGTTGTGAGTTTAGCCATAAGAATGTCAACAAAGTAAGTTCTAGGCACCAAAATTCAAAATACCGCCTAAACTCCAAACTTCATACTGTGTAAAAGAATAGGGCTATCTCATTCCTTCTTTCCAGAATTTGTCACTCTGAGTGAAACTCCAGTGAAGATGTAAGATAATCCAAAGGTGGCAAAGCAAGGAATCACCCAAGGAGAACTATTCAACCAAGGAATCAGACATGAAAGTCTCACTTAAGGATGCATAGCGTGCCTTGATTAACCAGAATATCCACTTCAAAGCATCCACCGAGATATACACAACCTCAGTAATTTGTCACTCATAACGTTAAACCAAACAACATACATTTTAAAAAGTATATATTTATTTGTTAGGACCGTATAAATTTTAGACAGATGCTAATTTGTACCCAAAGATAATATTGTTGTCAAATTTTAAGTGTCACAGAATAAAATCCATTATATTACATAGAATAAGTGTCACAGCCACTAATGTAACTAACAGAATGTTCATATAAATGTTTATAAAAGAAAATAATACAATTTTGTGTTAAAAACAAACAATGTTTTCAAATTGATGTGAAAAAACTTGCGCAATAAATTCCATAAATCTGAAAATTTTGAAATATTCTATCACTTGGTTTTTTAAAAACTATCATAGCTATCATTTTTAAAAGGACAATGACTTTAAGATCATCAAAAATGAACAAACACTTGTATATATTAAAACAAGTTGCAAGATCATCAAAAATGAACAAACACTTGTTTATATTAAAACAAGTTGCAGTGTAAAAATATGAGTGATATGTGTAGAACGTACTTGAAAGAATTGTTATTAAACAATGTCCTTATAATAATTATTAAAAAAAAACGAACATTCTATAACAAATAACAAACCCTAAACATTACAAAGAAGTACAACTGCCTATATGAATCACTGAGAATAATCAAAAAAGAAAGTCTACACAACGTCCTTTGAACAAATTACAATTCTCACGAGACAGTAAACTTTGAACAAATCTCGACATCACTTGCAACACGAGTGCAGATTAGTCATAAAACAATGTTTGCTTAAATCTGGAATATGAAATTAATGATAACTTCAAAATAGTGGCATCAATTTGAAGTTCTCAGAATAACCATATAATTTGAATACTCAGTTTATTCCTATCATAATTAGAATTAGAAATTGAAAACATTAACTTACCAAAACATAAAACTAGGAAACACTGTAGCATTGCTTAACATATTCACCTTGAGATTGAAGAGGATGGCCCTACAAGAATGCTTCGTAAATCCAAAGATCATGATATCTAGAGCTGCAAATGAATATCTTGGGCAACTGATGCGTGCTGCAAATTACTGAAACATAAAACCAGGAAACGTTGTAGTATTGCTTAACATAGGTGAGAGGGCTTTAGTTATCTTCACCTTGAGATTGAAGAGGATGGCCCTACAAGAAAGCTTAGTAAATCCGAAGAGCATGATATCTAGACTGGTTATGAAAACTAACCCAATGAAAATAATTTCACATCTATATGAAAATATAACCGTAAAACATTACCACCCATGTAAATATTGTAATTCAACAACACTTGTTTCTTAAGGATCAGCTAGGATATTTGGTGCATATTACCATATTCAACACTTAAATAGAAGTAACTACACTTTAAAAACTGTATCACTATTTGTATTACTGATGAATGGTACAACAAATTTCAAATTATTGAAAATTCAATTTAATTAAAACATCCTACAAACATTTCGGATTTAACTAATAGGAGTTGAAACCATAGGAAAGTTGATGGAAACGTTAAGTTTGAATTAACCACTCAGAAATTGATTTTAACAGATAAATTAGTTTTATTTTAATCCATAACAGAATAAACTAAAATAGGTATAATTAAAATTGATATCTGAATTAATATCAAATTAGATCAACTTAGGATAATACCTTGAAATGGAAGCGGATAATTTCGTGATGATTTCGCACGGTGCTATGGAGAGTAGTGCGGGTTACGGAATAAAAAAAAGAAGCAAGGCAAAAACCACACGAGGGAGAGAACCCGGGCAAAATTCCCGTGCGATCTCTCCCAAAAACCAACAAATTTTTTTTTATTATTTTGTTGACCTGCCAAGCAAGCGCACCTGACATGACAAAGGTCGGATGACAAGATAATTCAGAATATAACCGAGGCATATAATCCTGATACATCATCCTACACCCATTCTATCTCTCCCGAAAAGCTCTCAATCATTTACATAATTACAATAGCCAAGATCTGCAACATCTTAGATCAAACTTCACAACAGCATATACAGTTCAGCCGCTGAGTCATCCGTTATTATAAACTAGCAGCTCCATAATATTGGTCGGTCTTCGATATGATCCGCGATCCACCGCCATACCTGAAAAAAAAAACTCAAGGATCCTTGATTTATAAAGAATCAAGGACTTCTCTGAAAAATCCAGAAAGCGAGAAGAGCGTGAAGATCGCACATCTGCATGTGGAACTGACAGATAGAATAACAGAATCAATCAGTAACAATTAGCGATCATGAAAACCTACAAGGAACAAAACAAATTTCGATCTAAAAGAGTACGTATCGGAGCGAAACAATAATCGGCGTGTAAATCTCCATCGGATCTATATACTTCCGGTGTCGATCGACGTCGGAAATTGAAATTGAATGGAATGACGAGAAGAGGGAGAAACCCTAAAAAGAGTTTAATGGAATAAAGGAGAGTATTCCCGATCTTTTATAACTAATATTTGGTGGAACGAACGGCTGGGATTGCTTGCGTTGACGTGTCTATTTGGTGACGTGTAACGTTTGGTGCGGCAAGTTTAACAGCAGGGGAAGTTACGTTTATTATCTGTACCGTTTTAAACCATTTACAAAATTACAAGGGTACTTTAGTAAAATAGTAGTCGTGGCGGTTTGGTGTCAGCCATCAATACTAAGGATGTGTTTGAATGAGAAATAGAATTGATTTAATATGTTGATTGGTATAAGTGAAAAATAGAAGAAATAGTGGAAGAAAAAAAAAGTAAGAAGTATTTTTAAAAATACTAAAGTTTATAAATTAAAGTTACTTAATTTTTAATTTATTTTACTTATTATAATTAAATTAGCTAAATGATAAATAAAAATTTACAATAAATGTTTTAAATAACTTTAGAAAAATTTAGTTGAATTATCTATTTATCTCTCATTGTACCATAGTGTTATTGAATATAGTACAATAATAAAACAACAATTTGATTTTACATGTTTATTTGTTGCTCATCTCAACTTCTTTGCAACATCGAAGAGAAAGCATTTTTTAGTGGATTCCACATATGTTTACTCTTTCTTTCTATTTCATCTCATTTCAAGCAGGAGAAGTTATTTAGATTTTCTAAACTTCTCTCTCCACAAGTTCTCTCTTCTCTCCTTCTATCCAAACAATCATACCCTACAAGTATGGCATGGACGGAGCGAGCTGGCAATTGTAAATATTTCATTTTTGTTTGAAGGTTATGTGAATTGCCTCCAAAAGAATATTCTAAAATAAGTAAGTTGGGCAGGTTAACAACTCCATATAATCTGAACCATAGATAATATAAAAAAATATTTATATATTTATTTATTTTTTTTTAATTCTGACTAAAAAATATTTGGATGAAAACCTTAGTTAGAAATATTGAAGTTTGAATTATGTACATTTTAAATGGTTTTTTTTCTCTTAATCATCTCACTTTATTGAATTTCATGTTTGGGAGTTGTGTATATATATTAAACTGGAGCGGTCATTTGAGATTGAAGAAGTCTAAATAGAAATAATTCAATGTAGGCCGTCTTAGGCGAGATATTGGCAAGCAGGCTAAGGATTATTATTATGTGAAATCAACACATTCAAAGTATTCTAACAAGTGTAATAAGTGTCAAATCAATGATCATTAAGGCCCATTATGATGAGTAATTCTTACACAAAAAATAACTCATTATGGCTCTTACTGAATTCTGACCTGCATTAGATGAGTTATCTATTATTAGTGTTTCTGCATGAACATTTGGCACCCATAATAGAGCTCCGGTAAAACTTGCATGTACCACACAAAAGCCTTCTGATCATTGATCTCACCCACATCATGTGCAAAGTGACCAACAACAATAATCAAGGGTCTCACTTTACCGTTGAGAAATTCGCCATCGTAAAAGTCCTACATCATCAAAACAAACTCTTGTAGAGTAGGGGTACATGACTTAACAACAAAATCAACATCAACTCCAACCAGAAGACAAAGAATTGGAGGATCTGATCGACCCACGCCCTCTAACGGCATATATTGGAGATGACCAAGTCCTATATAATTTCAAACCACCTCTTAGCCACTTTTCATGGCAAAAGTGACCATCAAGAGTATATCATAATGATCAACACTCAGATGGACATCATTGGTGCTAGTTACTCACTGAAATGCAAGTAGATGGTTGGCACGCTGAAGGATGTCGCTTTACAATAGTACATGAGTATCATGAGGTTCTTTCTAACCAATTATTAGGATTTGTCTAGGGAAATAATACATCATTTTTTTTGCCAACAGACACATAAAGGTGTCGCCCACAAGTCTCTTCAATGTCTACCGATGGCAGACCGAGACATTGCGAGAATATCTAGCTCATTTTAACAAAAAAAAAAGCCATCAAAGTCGCCCATCTTAATCAAGAGATGTTCATAAGATCTTTCTATAACGACCTCAAGGCAGAAGCATTTCAATGAGTCCCTAGACCAAAAGGTGGCATTAACGATAATAGTGCCACATGAAAGGTGATGGGAATAATGCAGAAAAAAGTATAAGGGATACGAAGAATAAGGGAGTATCAAAGACAGAAATGTGCTAGTAGAGAAAACACCGGAATCAAACGCCTTCACGAGAAAAAATAATATTTAAGCCCAATCAAAAGTTATATGAATATTTCACCTTGTTGAATATAAAATATGAGAGAATTTTGCAAGAAGTTTACCATGTGAAGATCTTTCCCAAGCCAAACCTGCCCAAGGGCAATGTGACGAGGATGAATACTGGAGAAATGTACAAGTACCATAGAGTGAAGAAGTTCATCCTAGTTTCTAGTTGTGTCTTGAAGATATAAATAAACAAGAATAAATTGTAATTATATAATTTTAAATTTTTAAATTATTCCATCTCTTACATGAAATTAATTCTTGTTTGTAAATATGCACATACACACAACAACTTAAAAATGGGAATGATTGTTGAACTCCCCTTATGTTGTTGTCACAAAGATCATAAAACCTATTTTGACTCGTCTTTTGTAATAATATGCCATAGAAATTGCATACCAAAATGTTACTGCCATTTCTAAAGGGAATTCATGGCCTCCTCCAATTTTTTCTTAAGTGCATCCAGAGACTCTGTCAAATGAAAAACTTCTGCTTCCTCCATTTCTATAGACAATGCAGATATATTTCCGGCATGATCGCTCTCAAGACGTTCCACAATGGCCGACTTTTCACCCAAAACCTGCCATATGAAAAGGGTAATTCAGAAACATACCGGTACGAAGAATTTGGATTCCCTGCAGTCAAGATTCTCTGCATTCACACAATCGAGATATTGGTGGCTGTTGGATCAAGATCGCACGATCCAAAAAAGCAGATTTTAACTTGTTTTATTTCAAAAAAGCAAACTTGAATCTGGACCATCTGACCTTGATCGAAGGGTCACTAATGTCCCAAATGCATGACTGTGGGCAATTCCCGACTGCAGCAAAAGTTGTCTCATAGTACTTTCGTGCAAAGTTTCAAATACAAAAACATGTTCATCATCTATTCATCATACCTCAGCTATAGTTGAAATTGCCAAAATTGTCTGCAATCTTTTGACTTTGGATTTTGAGTCATGATGTTGTAATGGTCTGATAATTTTATGGATTTCAGAACCAAGGCGGTTACCAAGCATGGAATCGGCTTCATCCAATACCTAGTTAATGAAAATGAAGCACGCATATGTGATCAATATCTTAATGTTCAGTTTTGAGCCCTGAAGTGAAGTTTAAAAAAAAACTACCTCCGTCTTTAAATATAAGACGAACCTTATTGAGAATTTTCCGAGTCTCTTTTTATAGGACTCTTTTCAAATTTTCAATTCTATTAACTATTTCTTTAACAAAATACTAGTCATTATTGACACTCACCAAGTATTTCAATTCTGCAGGAACAACAATCCCTTCATCAATGTATTGAAGAATCTCACAAGGAGTTCCAATCATTAAGCCAATTGAGGAATTCGACTTTTCGTTATTTGATGAAGCACGATTTTTTGCAGACTTCAATTCTGCATTATGGATGATATATCTTGCCGCATTAAAGCACTGCAATGGCAAAACCAATTCAAAAACTCAAGATGTGCACTCTACACTACAGAACTAATCAAACAAGTTGATGATAGAGTGACCTGTTCAACTTTCTCCTCAGAAGCACAAAGCACAACGGCTGGAGGATGCTTTGAATTAGAACCAAGCAACTCTCTATCCCGTCTTAGCAACTATAAAGTTAAACAGATTTAATCAATTCAATTCAATCAAATCATAGACAATTTTAGCTTAAAATCATCCTAAATTAAAGTGAAAACTACAAGACAATCTTAAATGGGGGTCGCGTGAATAGTTACAGTCATCACCATAGTTTTAAATTGCAGTCCACAACAGCAATTGAAGCCGCAATATTGCTAATGTGGTAGTCTCCGCAAATGCATCGTGAACCGCATCAAACAAGTTTGCTCATGTTTCTCTAAGTATTTTCATCAAAATTCAAAATTTCTGAATCCAAAAACTCAATTACTTCTGTCGTAAAGAAAAATCTTTAACATTAAGTGTTTTTCAATGGTATATTTCAAACACCTCCCAATCAAAATTTTCGCCACAAAGGCGGCAATGTGCATCGCAGCAACCACAATGACTCCGCAACCGCAACTATACATCTGTGACCGCAATATAAAACCATGGTCATCATGACCGCAATCGCAAGAGCATCAGCGACCGCAACTTAAAACCATGGTCATCACAAACAAATGCAACCAATGTATGTCACCGTTTAGATTCGAGGTTGCATGCATTTATTTAAATTTCAAATGAATAATAAAAATACATAAAACTGCAAAGAAAACCCTAAAAGGTACTCCAATAGAACGAACCTGAATAAGGGGCAACAAATAGGCCAATGTTCTATCAGGTTGAGAAGGTGAACTCAAGAGCAAACTCTTCCCTTCCAAAATAGTTGGAATAACAACACACTGTATCTCACTCGGAACAAAATCACCAATCTCTTCCATAACCTCAACAAGAACTTCACTCAACCCCAACTTCTTAAAGTTAGCAACCACCATAGAATCTTCATTTTCACTCTCACTTTTCAAACCCTTTTGAACTGTTTTCTCAACATTAGTATCAAAACTTTCTGGAACGGAATTTGAAACTTTTGGATTAAAAATCGAGTCTTTTGATGACCCTTTGAGTTTCCTTTCTTTGAACTGTTGTAAAATCAGTGATTCTCTTTGGGATTTTGAAAACGTTGAGAAAGCTGTTGAACATTGAGAAGAAATGGTGGGTTGTAGTGATTTTGAGAGTGGTTGGTTGTGAATTTTAGAGTGTAGAGATGAAAATGAGAGGCGTAGAAGTTCTTTGATTCTTCTTCTCATGGCTTCTCTTTGTGGTTTTTGTTCTGAGTCTTGTTCGAATACAGAGAAGAAAGAGGAAATAGAAATTTGAGGTTTCGGTGCTGCCAAGGTTTTTTCTTCGGAAGTTTGATTCAGGTTTGTTTAGTTGTTTGGTTGGAAAAATTGCACCGTTTTAACCCAAATATAATTTCAAGGAAATTTTACTTTATTAACACCCAACTTCTTTTTTTTGAATGGTGCAAAAACAAACCCTAGAAAAAAAAAACTAAAGAGAAAAGAAAAAAAACACCAAGATGCCTCTACACACAAACACCTCAACATCAATCCCTCAAAAATCAACTATTAATGCACGCCTAAAATGGAGATTTGGCTTCCATTATGAGAAGGTGAGAAGGTGCAATAGACACACGAGAGATTTTAGCAAGCAATTATTTCAAGATTAATGAATCACTTTGTTATACAGTTTCTCTTTGATATATATCAATCTAGAAAAAATGATTTATTTTGGGATTTTAAATGGTCTGCGATATATAATGGTAAACTAAAGACAAGTCAAGCTTAACTTTAAGCATCGACTCAAGATACCTCATAATTTTTAAGATCGACCATATGCTCATAGGTAAAACCAACTCCTACCTAAGAACCTTAAAATATTATACTAAATCAAAGTTATCATCTCGCAAAAGACAAATAGATGATTAAACAACTCAACAACTTTCTAATTGAAGACACATTTAACACTATTAAGGTTAACAATCGATCACCCTTCGTCTAAAAAGATTATCTCTGGTGGGAATTCTATCTCTAAGTAACTACCAAGAGAAAACCAAAACTTTATACGAGGCCTAACTCTTCCATACATAGAACTCGAGCGATGTCATAAAAAAGAAAAGAAATAGCCATATGACATTGACAAAAGAAGGTATAGTTTGATTTCACTGAGTACAAATGGTTCCCATCAGGGGAAGCACCAAAACCCTCGATAGTAGCCATGAGGTACACCACCAGCTCATGTTCCCATACAAACAAACTCATCATTCACTTGAGGTCCCAAGACCAAGCCACATTCACAAACTCACCTAAATCATTTACTCTCTCACTAAGTTGAGATGAAACCCGATAAATTCTTAGAAAGCGATCTTTTATAGGGATAAAACCACACCCGGGAGCATCCTAAAATGAGGTAGAGAGCCCAACTCTCACCTTTTTGGTGATGTTCTTCGCAAACCAGTCTTATGAATCTTAGGGACCGGAACCAAGGAGTACTTTCCACCTAGATTAAGAAGAACAAAAATCCACTGACCTCCCACCAGTGGCGGATCTTACTTAAAGAGCCCCATATTTGGCTGATATAAAGTTGAACTATAGGCCCCCTCCTTCCAATAATCTCCATGTACATTTACCTAGAATCATAAAATTAGCTAGATGTATATCATTTACCCCCACTCGACTATCCTTTTTTAGCTTACACACGTCGGACCAAGGGACCCAAAAGATCTTATCTACATCAATTGTACCTCTCCAAAGGAAGCGCCTCTAATTTATAACCCAATATTTCTCAATTTAACAGACATTTTATAGAATAAAAAGGAAGAAAATGGGTATCGAGTTAAGAACATGGTTTAGCAAGATTGCGATACCACCTAAGCTAACAAACTTATCATCCCATGAGTTAAGCCTTTTCCAATTATAGTTAACCAACGAATTCTAGGTAGTTCTAAGGAGAGATTTAGCACTGATCGAAAGCCCTAAATACTTACACAAAAAGTGTGTCTACTTGTAGTGCAACAATCCTTCTACTATCACAAAAAAGTTTGAATCAACATTAACCTTTATTAAACTACTCTTAGCAAAATTCACACACAGTCCTAAAGTAACCTCAGAAACCCAAAGGACTGAGTTAATAACCCAAAGGTTTTCAACTATTGTCTTACCCAAAGTTAAAGTACCATATGCATTATGAGTATAAGAAACCATAAGATCAAAATTTCCCATATTAAAACCAGAAAAGAGATCAGTCTTTATAGCTCTCCCAAATAACACACTCAATTTCTCTACAACCAAGAGGAATAGAATGATTTAAATGATCATACTATTTAATCACTTTTAGATATTAGTCTCTGGTAGGAGGAAACCATTAACCAAGACAACACATTGAAATCAAAACATGCACCCTAATCCAAGCACACCACCTACCACAAAAGAAAAACTTGTTAGATTAAGCCCTAATAGTCTATTTATATTGTTTGTATTTATTTTTGTATCATTACTTTGATATATATTTTTGATCTTGCCAGTTGACCAGAACCTAAAGTGGACGATAGATAACGTCTACAAGACTAGAAACAAGGAAGTAAGAGTGTAAAGAGATACAAGAAAGAGATTAGGGTTTTTTAAAATAAATAT